ATTAAATGTAATTTGTTGAAGGTGTGATCAATAGAAGTGAATAGTCCTGTACCTGGAACGTGTCCATGGGAGGCAGGTCATAGGGAGCGGGGTTTGACCGGAACATCTGAGGTCCGGCCCACGAGATCTTGTGGTCGGCCTGTTGGGGCTGCTGGTTCTGCTGGTTGGGCATGCCCAGGAGCCAGTCCGCGCCCGTGACGGCGTCGCCGGCCATGGAGTGGTGCTTGAAGTGCCTCTCGGTCCCGATGGGTCTCGGCGGCGCCTTCATCGGCGCGCCGTCCCCAGCCGGCCCGTGGCCGTGCCCATGGCCGTGGCCGTGACCGTGACCGTGGTTGTGCCCGTGCCCATGCCCGTGGTTAGGTGAGGGCGGCGAGTTGCCGTTCTCCGCCATGGGCGGCATCATGTCCGACACAGAAGCAGAGGGATGGCTGAGCGACGCTCCCAGCGCCCCGCCCAGCACGTTGAAGTTGGAGGCCTCCGGTTGGTAGCCGTGTCCGCCGTGTCCGCCATGCCCGCCGTGGGGCATGAAGGGCCAGCGGTTGTGGGAGCTGCCAGGGCCGTGCGACGGCCCCGGCCCATGCCCAGGTCCGTGTCCAGGTCGCGGGGGGTGGAACTTGTTGGGGAGGGATCCGGGAGGGAGCATGTTGGGAGGGAGGTACGGGGGAGCGGACTGGAACATAGGAGGGTGGGGAGGGGGCTTGTTGGTGTGGTGCATGGCGCTAGAGAAGTCAGGCGCGCGCGGGTTCAGCCGCGACATGCTCACGGCCGTGTTGAGCAAGGCGTCCGTCATGCCCGGCACCATGCCCAACAGGTTGTCGGCGGCGTGAGAGTGCGCACCATACAGGCCTGAGCTGTCGTCTGGGAAAACGGGAACGGAACGGACACCAAAGTCAGAGGGGGCAAGATCTAACCTCTGGTTCTGGTTCTGGGGCTGGTTGGGGTTCAGCTGGGCCGGGCCGTGCTGCTGCTGCTGTTGCTGCTGCTGCTGCTGGTTCTGGGGCAAGCCCAGGCCGTCGACCATGCTATTCGGGCGCACGACCATGTTGTGGTTCAGGCCCGCCGAGGGCGGGATCTCCATGCTCATGGGCCGCATCATGTGGTTGTGCCCATGCGGGCCGTGATTGGGCCCGTGGCCCGGCGGAGGGATGCTGGTGTTGGGCGGAGGGCCCGGCGGCCCCTGGCCCTGAGGCCCCTGCTGGGACTGGTGGCCCGAGCCCTGCGGCGAGGGCGACATGGACGACTGCATGTCGACGGACGAGGTGCTGCGGCTAGGAGAGTGCTGCATGTCCGCCATGGAGGGCCTCTGCACGGCCAGCCCGCTGCCCAGTCCACTGCCGATGGGGTTGGGCGGCCCGTGCTGGCCATGCTGGTTGTGCTGGCCATGCTGGCCGTGTTGGCTGTGCTGACTGTGCTGCGGAGGCGTAGACTGTCGGTGCGGCAGGGGAATGTGCTGCCCGGGCGACGCCAGCGGCTGCTGGTTGTGCTGTTGGGCATCCTTGTTGGGCCGCTGTACGGCCAGGCCAGAGCCGAGGCCGCTGCCGGGCGAGTGCGCCATGTCCATGGGTCCGGAGCCGGGTTGAGGCCGGCTCACCGCCAGGCCGAGGTTCACGTCAGGGGGTTGGATTTCCAGTGAGGGCCGTATAATGGGCGACGGCTGGCTGTTCATGTTGGACTGCGAGGAGGGCGGGGGGCCCTGGCTGGTGTCCACAGACTGGTGGCCACCCGAGGGTCCCTGACGGCTGATGGCCAGCAGAGAGGGTGGCTTGACTGGCGAGGGCGCCGCGCTGTTGTGCGAGGGCGCGTCTCGGTGCTGGTGAGCCTCCACGCTTAGGGAGTTGCCCAGCGAGGGCGGCGAGCTGGCCGTGCTGCACGGCTTGGAGGACACCGGCGAGCACGTCGTGTTCTTGCGGTAGCCAGGAGCCTTCGATATGTCCGCCTGTGGCGGAGTGGAGTCCAGGTACTGTGCGGGCGTCATCGAGGAATTGGCTGAAGCTGAACCAGCTGCGGCCACGCTCGCGAAGTTCATCCCCTTTTGGTTTGAGTTGCCGTCGCTGTCCCGACTCCACATGGTCTTCGGGAAGGAAGAAAACAAAACAAACAAGTTAGGTGAGATCTCGGTTAAGGTTGAGATGCTTCTGCGTCCGCTGTAGATTGAGAGAGAAGCGCGACTACACTTACCTTGTCGGAATTGAATAAAGAGTAAGTCAGCGGTGTTGACGTCGTGCAAGTGGCGGGCTCTGCCTCACTGGACACTTGCGACAAGGAAGGCTGCGCCGGGCTGCTACTCCTGACTGTGGCCAGGGCCACAGAAGACGGGGTCACTGACGATGGTGTGCTCACGGAAGAGTGAGCAAGTGAACTCTTGTAATGCGACGTCATACTTGGAGGCGCTGAAGAGATGGGAGGAGGTCGGTGATGCTTCGGTGAGGGCACCGTAGACACCTTCAGGACAATATCATATAGAGATCCGTGTTAGAACATATTGTCTAGATAATAAATAAGCGATCGGAGATGACTGAAGAATAAATGGCATTAATACCAAAGGAGTGACTGGGGCAGTGGCCGGTGGCGCGGCCTGGGGCTGTCTGGTCTTGGGTGGTACAATACTCGCCAAGGGCATTGGCGGAGTAGGCACCCCAGACGGTTCGCTTAACTTGGCAGCAAACGTCTGAGTAGTCAGAGGAGCGTGTCCCTTGGACGCGTTGCGCCCGGAGGTCATAATCGCCGATGTGTACGACATGGTTGTCTTGGTGTTGGAGGCAGCAAGAATAGCTGCTCGTTTCTCAGCTGTAAAAGAAAGCGCAATCTGTTAAAAAAGGTCCCTTTCCTAGCTTGGCAGAGGAAGTTGTTTTCACACGACTCTCCCCTCTCCGCTACTTCACATTACCTGCAGCCACGAGTCGTGGTGCGGTACCGCGGGTCACTGGGGGAGAGTATGACGACATGAGCTTGCAAACAGCCGCCGACCGCAATGAAGGCAGCAGTGGAGGAGGCCCAGCTGCAATACCAAATGGTAAGTCACAACTTCCCTACCTCCGGCCGGTTGCTATGTTTAATTTATTTAACTCTTCACAAACAAGGAGAAAACTAAACAGCCTCGATGCAAGGGCTTGTCTGACCTTGTTCAGTGGTTGATTTGAAACTGACAACTTTAACTGCTATTTGACAGACAAGAAGAGAAAGAACCATCACCAAAGACTAAAGTAACAAACACTTACTTGGTGGAACAATTTTGGTCAAACTTGGCGTGGATCCTAACAGTGGAGTAGGAGCAACAGTGGGGATAGCAGCAGGCTTCAAGCCAACAGGAACAGCTGCAGGTTTCAACTTCAAAGTCTGTAAAATAAAATGTAATATGTTATGAAGACAGAATCAAAATTTAATGAATAAGGATACATTGAAAAATAAGAGGAGGGAAAACATACAGCAGGAACAGGTTTCTCCCATTGTCCGAGGGTTGTACCAGATTTAATAGGTTTAGGAAGCATTCCCATTATATCAACATCGGGGTCTTTAATAAGAGTAGCTATTAACATGTGAGCTTGACGGGTAGCATCAGCACAGCCCCTATTGAAAGAAAAAAAAATTAGTACGAATTCACAGCATGTAAAGACAAATACTTGCAAAATTGTGCTTACTTGATTGTGATGATTCTTTCTCCTTGCCCCTTGCACTGTTTTTCAACTTCAATTTGAGCTCCGGTTGCAGCGCGAATAGCATTGATATTGCTACCCCCCCGTCCAATGACACGACTGATGGCATTTAAAGGCACGGACACTTTCTTAGACCTGAAAATTCAGAAGCAATTTTAAAATTGAGTTTGTAATTAAACCCAAAACATGCTGACAGAATAGCAGATAAAGCTCTACTGAGAGATAGACCAATACTTTAGAAAATTTTGAAAGAACTGCACTATAAAAAGTTAATAAATAGAAGCAACAGATTTTAAATGACAGGAAATGGGACCACAGTAACAGGTCTTTGAAAAACGAAAACAAAGTACGCAATTGACACCAAAGCAAATTAATTGATGCAAATTTCACAACTATATCATGATCAAGAAAAATAAATCATGTTTTGAAAAAATTAATTCAGAGAGAAAACAGCAGAGCAAAAGCATACCCAACACATGCGATAAAATTGATTGGAACCATGATAGAATGAAAAAATAGGAAAGACAGGAAAGGAAAAACCCATTTGAAAAACGCCAAGATTACCAAAATGTAACACCCCCATATATGGAGCTCTTGCTCTTGGAGTATGTATGAGATAGATAAATAATTTAAGAAAAGAAAACGAAAGAATATATTCGAGAAACGCATGCTGTCTACATAGATATTAATACTTGACCCACCTGAAGTGGGAAGAGGAATTCTGTGGATAAGAGTTTGGAACCGAAGGCGAATATCTAGAAATTAAAATACCACAACAAATTAATGAACATCCAATGTGTGTGAGGCCACACACAGTAGACCGAACTGTAATTGATGACAACTGAAAGGAGGGAGAATCAAATTACGTGGGCTCATTAAAATTGCATCCCAATATCTAACACTCTAGGAAATGGAGAAAATTTGAAACAAAAACTCTTATCAGGAAATTTCAAAAGTGCCAATCCTTTCTCTAAAAAATTCAACCTGTAATCAACAGCCAGAGCTTCCATCACAAAGGACTCTCCCAAGTTCCCTCTAAAAAAAATTAATATTTGACTGGGTTTCATTTGATCAATGACAAACTAGATCCACACGGAATAGATTAGTATGCAAGGTAAAAAAGCAATTCAAATCCATTACATTCAAAATGAAACACACCTTCTCTAGTCAACAGTGATATAGAGAAAAATCACAACAGATAAACTGGGGAAAAAAGGATAAACCTTGTATCATGATCAAATAGAAAAATTTCCATGCACTAATGAACAATTGAAACTAGAATGATCATATTTGTTTGAAAATGCCTCCATTTCATTGTTAGCCTTCAAATGCAAACACATGATGCCCACTTGCAGATTAATAAGTAGGGGAAAATTCTCAAACACTTTTAACAGACTGCAAAATTGGCACAAACAGTATTTAACACTTACTTTCTTACAACTTCCTTCCACCCTTCATCTCGCTTTCCTCCTTGTTTTGGGCTGGTAGAAGAGGCAGCTTTGCCCACAGTTGTCGTCTCACTCTCATATCTTCCAGCATCACCGATATTGTATCTGATGGAAAAAACAAAAAATCAAATAAATGAAGACACAAAATACAGTAATGTTTTTAAAATGGTTTCAATTTCATTCACTAAACACTCACAATTGAGAAACTTTCTTTGCTTTAGAAACAGGCGTGTAAGTCTCATTTCCTGTAGCCTCAAAGTCTTCTCTATCAGCAGGATGCCGAGAAGTTGCTTCGAAGACCATGTGAGTAGGATTGGCAGGAACAGTTTTATTTTCAGATTTTAGCTTTCTATCTTGTCTTTCCTGAATGGTGGATCTTGAGGTAGCAGTTGTGGTAGTAGACGTAGAGGTAGATGAGGCAGTGGAAGGAATGGCAGTACGTCTATCAACAGGTCGCTCTTCTACAAACCTCGAATTTGAGGTTGTAGATTGAGTAACTCTGTTGTTGGTGGGTGTGCTTTCTGGAGGATTATTTTCTTTCTCAGATTTGAGATTAGAATTAAGATTACTTCTTCCATTTGTTTTCTTTTTCTTATCCTTTCGTCTGTCCTTAGCTTTCACATCACTAGAACTACATGAGCCTTGGCTATTGGCATCAATGCCACTGTCTCCTTCCTCTTTGTCAACTGTTTCAGTTACAGCAGCAACTCTGTCAGGTGATTCGGAGTCTGGTGCAGTGCAGTTTTCACTACCACTGAATTCTGAGAGAAAAAATGGAAACAAAATACATAAATACATAGAAGAACAAGTGTTAAATTTGAAACAAAATATGTGAGCATTAATATTCATGTTCAAAGACAAGTTATGTCAATATTAATCAACAGGGCAGGGTAATCTGTGCATAAAAGGACAGTGGAGGGAAACGCCATAGTACATTTCAATATTTTTCACACCATTTCTCAGGCCACAGTGGGTAACTTCAAAATGCCTTGAACAAGGGGCACTGAGGCTGACCTCTTGGCAAGTGATCCAAAAGGCCTCTAAATAATGTGACTTCAGATAAAAAGTAATGTTTGAATGAACAGTCACAAATCACTAATTACAGAATGAAATTTAACATATCCCAATGTGCCAAATTAACTGGTCCATTACGGTAGTCTGGAGCCTGATAACTATGGTTGGTATTGACTTTACATCTGACATAAAGCAGCCTTAAACTTAATATTTTTGGGAACAGCTATCACAATAATATAAAACCAATGAAAATCATGTGTTTTAGCTGTAATTTGTACACACCTCTTTCACTTTCTTCTCCTTTGTCCTCATTATCATCTTCATTGTCATTCTCATTGCAGTTACCCATTTGTTTACGCTTTTCTTGCTTCTTTTTCTTTTTGCGTTCTCTACGCCTTTGGGCTGCTAGGCGCTTGCTTTCTTCACGGGTTTTTTCCATGTCCAATTCTTCTAGCAAAATGCTTGCATTTTTGTTAGCTTTAGCAGCTTGCTGATCCTTGGCAGCACGAATTATCTTGACACAGTCTTGGCATTTGTCTAAGAGCTCTTTGTCATTGATGGTAGTGATATATCTTGTCATTTCCTGATCACTTGGGAATTGCAGAACATGATGCACCATCCACTTCACAACTTTAATGTGACCTTTGCGGAATGCAGCCATAAGACATGAAACCTAGCCAAAAAGAGAAAAGAGAAGGATTAATTCAGAGTTTATAACCAGTTGTAAGTAGAGATTTGTTTGAGAAAATAGAACAAAAACGCTGATAATTTACTTTCAGAAAGTAAAACAAAAGTAAGCACTCACCTTCCGATTATCTTGGGAGTCAATGTCTGCCCCAGCATTGAATAATAATTCAACAACATTGAGGTGACCTCCATTGGCAGCAAGCCAAAGAGGTGAGTTTCCTTTCTTGTTTTTAACTTCAACTTGAGCACCACGAGTGAGAAGGAGCTCCACAAAGCGACAGTGCCCCTTGTCAGCTGCAATGGTTAAGCCAGTATCCCTTGACGATGGTACAGGTGGAGCATTTACATCAGCTCCCTTATCAAGTAATACTCGACCAACTTCCACATAACCACCGCTAGCAGCTTCCATGAGGGGTGTCAAACCAGTCTGAAAAATGTCCAATAAGATATTCAACACAGAGGGTACATAATCAATTTTTAAAAAATCAGCATAAAATATACATACCTTTGCCCGATGTTCCACATTGGCCTTGCGGTCCAACAAAAGGCTAACAACTTCATGCCTTCCTTGAAAGCATGCAAGTGTAAGTGCTGTGTTGCGGTTTGTCTCTATTTGTGCGTTAATGTCGCTACCCATATCCAGGAGCAATTTAACAGCAGCTGTGTGACCATTCATAGCTGCTAACATTAGAGGTGAAATTCCCAGCTTGCTTCCTGTTCTCGAGTTAATTTCTGCTCCATGAGCTAAGAGGAGTTTGATAATGTTGACATAACCACCAGATGCTGCTAGAGACAATGGGGTATAGTCTGATACATTTCGATGCTCTTTGTTGGCTCCTCTTTGAAGGAGAAGGTCTACCACCTAAAATAACAACAATTATTTTAAAATATGTAAAAAAAATCAGTGAAAAGAGTAGAAGTACGTCATATTATACTAGCCTCATATCTGCCCCCAGAGCAGGCCAAGGACAGTGGGGTATCTTTAGTGCGTTCAGATTGGGCTTCAATGTCAGCTCCATGATCAAGGAGAATTTCAACAACTTTGTGATGGCCAGCAGTTGCAGCAAGAATGAGAGGAGTAAACCCTTTCTTGTCTCTGTGTTCTATTTAATAATAAAAAAACAAAACAAAAACAAAATGCAAAATGAGAGCAGGTGAAATAAAGAGCTATAAAAGATATAAAGTAAGATGGTGCGAAAAAGTATTACACTTACCAATGTCGGATCCACGATTGAGCAGTAACTCAACAAGTTCGTCGTGGCCACCAGCACAGGCAAGGGTTAAGGCAGTATCATGATTACTTTCTGTTTCACTGTCCACATTAAGGGACGAAACAGGAGCTTGGCCACAGGGTGTGGCATACTGTCCAGGAGCTGCAAAAAACAGAGAGTAAAATATTGAGGTGACAAACTGAGAATACATTTAGAGCAGTTATGAGGTAAAAGGCTAGTTTTTAGCCAGCATAATATAAATGCATTTCTTTTCCCTCTTGCAATTGGATGATGTCTATAACTTTCTGGTTTAGAAAAAAAAGGTGTTTGGGTTAGAATATTTAATTTCATGCTGATTAATACTATTTAAAGTTTCAGGAAATTAAAAAATATTCAGAGCATGCAAACACATTGAAAAGCAGTATTCTTTCCCTTCTTTT